GATGAGGATGAGGATCAGGATGAGGATGAGCACTATGCTTTGAGAATCATGATGAATATGATGGCGACAAGCATGAGCAAGACGACGACAACGACGAGGATAACGAACACGACGAAGACGACGACGAGGACAAGGACGAGGACGAAGACGAGAACGAGGACGAGGACGACGAAGCCGGCGATGGCGATAACCACCACCACAAGCACACGGACAACGACTCCGACATCAACCACCACAACTACCACCACTACGAACCTGCAACTTCTTGCTTCAAAGCCGCAATTAAAGCTACAAGTGCAGCTGGTGCCACTGATGACCCGACCGCTCCGCCTCTGCAGCTACAACTACAGCACTTATACCCCCACAGTTTACCATGTCATACCATGTCAATGTGAGTGCTCTGCCCTCGCAGCTCTTTTTTTTCGGACAACCATGATGCTGCAACAGGTGAGACATGCCTGCACAGCTGCAGCTGCAAACACACGAAGCGTCCGGAGCATAAACTACTGTCTGGCCAACAGGCACGGGACAGGGACCCCGCCATAAGGTGGATGCTGTGGCGAGTTCTGCCTCGAAAGCCAATAGCAAGGCGCGACAAGTCCAGCTTCCTTATTTACCCCAGCACGCGAATGCTATATCGCAGAAGCTTTGCAAGCAATCGGTGAAATCAAGCTCTGGCAAGGGGTCGCCTGATTCTCACAGCTATTCATCCATTCTGGTTGTCACGGATCCACGCAGTTTCCGAGTTTGCACAGGCCTGAAGCCTGAAAACCCGGCCAACTGCAGAACGGTAAAACTCGTGGCACAGCTATGGAGCCTTCGAGGCAGCGCACCAGGCAAAGCCTCGCAAGTGTCACCACAAGTCAAGATCCCAGTCAGAACGAGGAACCATGACTGCGAGATTGCACTGGACCCTTGGGGCCCCACTTCGGAATGGAAAAAGCCGCCGAAACTTCCATGTCTCGGTGCCCGCATGCTTGCAAAGCATTACAGGCCAAAATCGCTGCATGCATCCCTGACATGTACACTGTTATTATCACCATGAGCTCAATGCTGCTGCCACAATAAGGAGATAGGGCACGTGCAATAGGTCTCGCTCTCTGCACCTCAGTGCACTCCGCCACCTCAGTGCTGCCCGGAAGCTGAAGAGTTTGCAACGGTTGAGAAAACGACGTGTCTTTCGGCAGATGCAGCTTCCTTTTGCTTTGTCTGGACTCCTTGCGAATGGGGCATGTTCAAGCACCCCTTCAACATCATTAACACCTGAAGTCCGATCTTCTGCGCATAACCCGCCAACGCAGTGCACCTGCAAAGCCTCAAAGAGTGGAATATGTTTGCCATGTATTTTGAACTCCGGGGCTTCTCAAACCCTTGAAAACTTCGACCCGAATACGAAACCTCTCGAACAGCGAACCTCGCCTATGCCCTGTGCACTTGCGATGCCCAAAAAAGCCCCATACGGCATGCCAGGGCTTTTCAGGATCTGCTTTGCGTGCTTAGGCAGGCCACAAACGTATTGCAATTAGCCTGCCCCACGCCTGCCTGGTCTCCCCACGCTGGAACCCTCCAAAGCGCCGGTACCTAAAGCTGAGAAAACCAAGCCTGTTCCGCAAACATTGAATGGATCCACTGCCTGTCGATCTGAGCCCGGGACATATCCGTTCCAGGGATGCAACGCGATGCAACTACAGCGCGCAGCTGACTCTTTGTCAGCTAAATGGAATGCAGATCAGCTGTTGGGTGCAGGAATCGCGAACTAACCACTTTACCACTTTGAGTTCACCTCCATTCTTGAGCCCAAGAGCTCTTTGAACCGATCCTTTTGAAGCGAAGCCGCAAACAGCCAAACCGCTCGAGGTTGATGCTGAGCATCGACACACGTCCGAACGACTCAAGCCTGGCACGCCAAACCTTTTTGCTAAGCGCTTACAGCGGGATCACGGTGCTATTCGTTGGAATCTCGTAGCCAAAAGCCTCATAGTCCCGGGCGTAGAACTCCCGCACCATGCTTATGGTGGCGGGCGTCGGCCTCACCGTGCCTTGCCATGGCTTCTGCTTGCAGGACTTAAAGCCTACGGGCCTACGGAAGCCAGGCATTGGAGCGTCCAAAGTTCACCGGACGGGTTTCGTCACAAGCTTCGTGCTCTTTTTTGGGCAGGCCTAGCTTCCGGAACAGGTGGTTTGGCGGCGCTGTCTTGTTGTCCTGTGATGTCCTGGGGTGTCCTGGAGGTCTCCTGGTGGTCTCTTGGTCTCCTGATTGTCTCTTAGTGTCCTGGTGGTCCCTTGGTGCTCCTGTCGGGGTGCTGTTGTTGTGGTCTCCTGGTCGTTGTCATCCTGGTCAGACTGCTCGTCGCGAATGGTCTTCTGATGATCTCCTGGCGTTTCTCGAGATGGTGTCCTGGTGGTGTCCAGACGCTTTCCTGGTGGTCTCCTCTTGGTGGTGTGTGGTGGCGGTCTCTTGGTGGTGGCCTGTTGGTCTCCTGTGGTCTCTTGGTGGTCTCTTGGTGTTGTGGTGGTGCCTCCTGCTGGTCTCCTGAGTGATGGTGTTTTGGTGGTCTCCTGGTCTTGTGGTGGTCTCTTGGATGGCGTAAACGCTGGCATATCATGGCGCTGACAAAACACAGATGGCAATTGGCTGCGACTTTTATGTTCCCAAGCAGTTCGAGACTGGTGTTCTGTTGGTGGTTTTCTGGTTGCAACTGGGCCGTCTCCACAGGGGTGCCCTGGTGGTCTCTGGTGTGTCCTGCGATCTCTTGGTGGTCCAATACAAACGTAGATAGTAGGTCAATGATGACATAACATGGCATCAGTGCCGGAAAACACACATGTCAACTAGCTGCGACCTGTGTTTTCCCAGCACTTCAGGCCGGTTCGAAAGGGGCCGGTGCTCCCACCTGTGTGCTCGAGCACAGTTGTAGTATGCGAAATGCCTCCCGGCTCCTGGAGCTCTGGGGCCCCCAAACTGGGTGTTTTCGAATACAATCGGAACACAAAGTTAATGCACGGAATGATTCCGAAAAATGCTGGACAAACATAGAAAACCATAGCTGGCAACTGGTTGTATTTTCCCAAGCGTGGCCAACCACTGGCCCGGTCGGTGACGACTGTTCTGGTGGCAGCATGGAAAACACAGATGGCAACTAGTTGCAACCTGTATTTTCCGGGCATAGCAAACCACCGGCCCGGGTTCGTGTCTTCTTGGTCATAATGGCATGCTTCAGGTATGGAATGGTCTTTCATGGTCTTTCACTGCTTGGGAACCTCCTCTGATCATTGTTTCTTTTGGGTTGCATCATAGCTGCATTGATCAAAGCTTTCCCTCGCAAAGGGTCGATTCGCCAATTCTTAGACGTGATGATGTATGTTCTTAGGCTGCATCACTGTGGCGCTGAAGCCATCACCGGTAACAGGGATCTTAAGAATTGGGTGTGGATCCCAGGACCCTATAACGTGCTGTCAGCGGGACCTAGATCGCCACATAAGGAGACCTCGATCGGGATCTGAATCTCTTGCCTGCTGTTTGGGTTCCACGGTCGCTCGTGTAGTTGATGTAGCTTGGTGTGGCACGGAGCGATGAAACTCATCCGCGCTCCGAGGCTCGTCCGGCTAGGGGGTAGAATTGCAGGTGTTGGGTTGAGGATCTAAGGCTCTGGGTGGTACACTGCAACCAAAAGCTGCCAAAAGAGACAAGCTGCAGTGTCCCATATTTTCATGTAACTTCCTTGGAGGTTGCAGATCAGGGAGTGGGTGGGAGAGAAAGTCAGCGTCTCTGGCTGTTGCCTCCCGCAGAATGCACAAATCGGATGAAAGCTCTACTTAAACAGAAGACCAAGATGCGGAAGTGACTTCACCTGACGGTTTTGAACTACAGGGCTGGCACTCAGAAGTGATTCCTCCCCATCCGTTTTGGGACCACCGATTAAGAGATGCACAAATCCCTGGAGGATGATGCAAGGTTGTCTCCGAATCAAGTTTCCATCTTATTCGCAACGATGCTGAAAACGCTGTGAAATTTGAAAGCTGTGGCATTGCATCATTCGTCACTCAACCTTGCAAACTCACCCTTGAAACCCAATCGCGAACGAAATCCTCACCCTACACCCTGACTCCTAAGCCAATTCCTTGACCCCCAACCTCCCGAACCTTGACAGTTAGCCCCGAAAGATTCAGTGTTGTTTGATGTTGGCATTGAGGTTTTCAGCGTCACTGGAATCGCGCTTCAGGCTCGCATCGCGAGGTAAAGCCATCGAAAGCACGGTGTTGGGTCCGGCAGCTGAAAAGCTATCCCGCTTGACATGCCATGCTCGCATGCTGAACATTGTTCTGAATCGAAGTCTCTTATGCTGTCCTATCAGTTTCGACGTTCATGTTGATGAGCAAGTGCACTTCCAAACTGTTAGACTTTGGCTTTCGGTGCATGAGGCAAGGTAATGTGGAACTTTGGTTTCAGTGTCCGCTGCGGATAGCGGCTCACAACTTCAGAGTTGCAAAGCTCAAACCTCAACGAACCGGTTGACCCAGAAGGTGTCGATCCAGAGCCGATAAACCCAAGATCCCTGGCCCTGGCACACACACACACATACTCACACCCACCAATGACCAAATAAGTCAAAACAATAATACCGAATATCCCACATCTGGAACCAAAGAAGTTGCAATGACTTAAACATTGACTTTGTAGATGTCGAGCATCAACTCACAAAGAGGATGTGGCTCGCAGGTCCCATGCACCTAGACGTGAATGCCTTTGAGACTCCCCATATACCTTTGTGCTAGCTCCTCAAACTGTCAGGCCTGAGAGATTCCGTAAGTCTCCATCAGACGAGGGAAACTCTGGTTCAACTCCTCGTATTTCCTTGGTTCTTGGAGGGTCGGGACTTCGAGCTCAAGCTCGAGTGTTAACATTTTTATTATAGCTTTCTGGTGCGTGGAAAGCAGCCTGAACTGTTTCTCTACCCGGCCACGTCTCAGGACATTGCCACAGATGCGCTGCGCGTTGGGATTGCCGTCACGGAACACATAGTACACTTGAGGCACGCCATGACAGTCGTCCTTGAGGTCAAGTTTGTTCAGCAAGCTCCTGCAGTTGACAGTTTGGAGGAAGGGGGATGAAAAGGCAAAAAGTGTCAAATCTAGACCCTGAAAGAGCCCTCGTCACGGCATCCGACAAGCCCCCACTCTCGGGTCAAAGAATCGGAGTCCTAAGCGTAGCCGCACAGGGCCGCACACTTGCAGAAGGGCAATACACTCACAAATGTCAAAAACACGCGCTACGGCAAGCCTCGTCAGACTTTCCAACTTTTTCTGGTCGCAGACCTGCAAGGAATACCCTCGTTGAGGCTTTTCGGGTTCTGAAGTTCAAGCCACAACTTGGAGTGCAGGTTGGCTCTTTCGACTCGACATGAACATCTAGGCGCAGGGTACAGGAGTTGGTGCTCCGACAGGAACTCCGGAATCTATGCGGCATAGAGTGCAGGGTGCAGAGTGGCACGATTGCGCAGATTCTAGATCTATTTCGCAGTGTGAACTTGTCATAGACTTCTCGCTGATGAATGTGCTTGCATCAACGGACTGCTGCACAATCACTCACAGAAGCTTCTAGATGCTGAAAGGCTGGTGCTGGCCGTCTCAACCGGTCTACAAGCGGCGAAATTGCGCAGTCATGTAACGCCACAACAAAACTTTGTGCCGCAGCCCACGTGTGCGGAAGCGATATCAGCGCGAGTAAGACGACGCTAACACTGAGCAGTAAACCTTCAACATGCACAGGCAAAGGCTCACCGACACCTTGAACCCGAATCTCTCCCCACATGAATCAGCCAATCAGACTGACAGGCACCTGCAAGTTGTGGTACATTCTCATGTGGCTGATCAACCTCTGCATGGGATCCCGCACGATGCAGAAGGAATCGCATTGCTCCGAGTAGTACCTCGCCTCCGAATCCCAGGCAAGGTTCATGATGACAAAGAGTTTCAAAGGTTTGCCGTGTTCTCAATCATGCACCCCGAAACAACGGTCGAAGTAGATTGTCGCAGAGCAAGCGAATTAAGATGTGTTTCATGACTTGGATTTGTGGGAGTTCTAGCTTACCTGCGCAAGCTCTCGAAGATTCGTGCAACTTCGATATCCAAGCTTCCGAAATAACAATAAAAAACAAAAAAACTGCAGCAATAGAAAAATAATTGTAATAGTAGTAAAATTACAAAGAGCAGTAATATAAGAAGACTAGTAACAACTACAACTACTCTACTGCTGTTGCTGCTGCTGCTGCTGCTGCTACTACTACTACTACTACTACTACTACTGCTACGGCTACGGCTACGGCTACTGCTACTGCTACTGCTACTGCTACACTGCTACTGCTACTGCTACTGCTACTGCTACTGCTACTGCTACTGCTACTGCTACTGCAACAACAACTACTACTAGTAGTACGTTTAGTACGTCTAGTGCACCTAGTACGACTAGGCCAACAAACGC